AAAATACCTTAGTACTATTCATTTGTCCAGCTATTCTCGATTTCACAATAAGAAAGATAACAACGGTATTGGATGCATTAACATTTCGTGTTCTTAGATCAATCCAGATGGTTGTCTGACCATTCGTATCGTGCAACACACAAAGTCTGAGTGTGTTATCAATTTATTAAATTAGTGGCAGTATCTCACTGAATTGGTTTTCGGGCAAGCATATCACTCAATTACCAAGCCCTGCACTCGAACAACTCTCAACGTGCTAAAGGCTATGGTGAGATCAGATGAGTTGTGTACATTGATTGGGGTTCATCTGAGGTGTTCACACTTTCTGTTCTTACTTAAATTTTTTATAGGACTGGAGACCCACTCAGCAGCCTTCTGCAGATTCGTGCAGTTGGCAATGACCCACAGGTTGAGCTGTGGCTCATTGATATAAGCACTTAACATTTAACCAATGGGTGGTTGATAATTGGTTCTAATGCGTTTACAGTTATCCAGAATTCCGAGTGTATAATTTTAAAAATAAGAACTTTGATTCTTTTTTAGCTTTTTGTTCAAATTGATTTCCGCTAGTTTTAACAGCCTGAAGATTATTTTTCTATTGCTTACTTGATGCACGGTTATTCATTTTTCATCACTCACATTTATTGTCTTGTTTGTACTGTCTTGGTACAAAATAGGCGACTAAGTGGGGGGCTGCAAAAAAATTGCCTTGATGATAAAATTAACACATTACGAAGTAGAGAAGTAAGAAATAATTAAGTGTTCGGAAAAGGAGAAGCAACCGTATAAAATACAGCGGTTATTAAATGTAAATCCAGTGAGTTGCATCGTTTCATCCAGGAAATCATGATTGGCTTAGAAGTGATAACCTAGTACACGTATCTTTTATCCTGTGGTGCCATCGCCTGGCTTGTTTTTCAGTCCGAATCAATATTAAGTACAAGTTTATAGCTGTATGGACATGGTTTTTGCTCAAGCTAGTGACTTCATTTCAGACTAGCGTTGTTTAGCGTGCCTATCTACGCTTCCGGATCTCAGGTTTACTAACAAGGTGGTACCACCAGATGTGAGCAAACATTTGTGGTAGCACTGATGGAAATCAGAGTCCTCGAGCATCCTCAACTGAGAGATGCCTGGTTGTATTGGTCTACAGCATTTTTGACTGCACTTTACTGTCATACAGCTAGTCTTTCAAGGACTGACTGATTTTCATTAAGGCTTTATTCATGAATCAAGGTGGAATATGCTTCTGTGGTCTCTTCTATGAAGTAGGAAATCGTATTCGCTATATTCGCCAGTAATAGGTTCAGATAGGTTCTTGCCAGTCGGGCAAAAGCATTTTCCATTTAGTTGATTCAAAGCATATATCAAACTTACGAACACTGATCAACTGGTAATTAGGCTCAATATCAGCAACCTATATATTAATAGCATGTACATCATGGTTATTTACTTTTTTGATAGCTGTGCCAGTAGCTTTGAAACGAATACAGAATCGAGTTACATGGTCCAACGTCGTCACTGATTTGTAGCAATGTGGAGACTTGGTTTTGTGTTCTCACGCTACATTAGTTATTACTATATACGGTCTCCAGAAAGTTATCAAACTTAAACTCAGCTTGAACAAATCTAATTAACGTGTCATATCTAAGGGATATTTCAGAAAAATCAATCTTTGTCGCGGTGTATGTAAGCGAAAATGTCCAAAAATGGGACAGAGGTTCAGCACACAATCTAGTTAACTGTTTGCACGTCTGTGATGGATTTTCCACGTTTTTGACTTAGCTGGCAACAAACTAGTGCCTCGATATCATCCACGAAAACCGCATGCACTTTTTAATGATGGAAACCATGATAATCTCATTCTGAAGTTATGAATCACTCCTAATTTGTCATGTTACTGAGAAATCTAGTAAGATCATTAAGAAGATTCTCATGTCTGCCTTCAACTACAGTCAGTAGTAATGTGTCGAAGTCGCTTTCTTTGTTATAGCCGCTTAATATTGACAGTTCCATTTCAAAATTTGCTTTTTAGCTGGGTACGTGTTGAACAGTCATGAAGCACAATATGTTGAGATCAAGAACTGTATTGCATTCGACCAACCAAATAGCTTCTCAAAATTTTCTTAACGGCAGTACACCATTTCTTGGCATTCCACCTATCTCACAGATCATATGATGCAATAACGACAGGCTTCTTGTTATGCACTCTAGCGTTCGTTATCCAGAGGGATGGTTCGTAGGTAATCAAGATATTGGGACGAGCTTGAAGAAAGTGTTTGAGAGCAAGACGTTTTCCCTAGTCACAGATAAGCGTACACACCAGAACATCTGATTGCAACTAACGCCCATTCATGCATGTTGAATCGACAGGTAACTTTGAATCTAGTTCGATTTTATATGCCGGGTACTACCAATCGCCTTCTGTCGACCTGTCTAGGATGTCGATTTTGTTGACCATCAAGGCGTAATGTGGGCTTTCAACGCGCTTAAGTGTCGTGAGAATCCAAACAGGCAATTGTGAAAATGCGGTAGTTTCGCACATATTTACTTCATCTTCGAATGCTCATATAATGAATTATTTGTGGTTGATATGTTTAATCGTATAGACATGAAACAGAACCTAGGTAATGACCGGTATTGGAATATTGTGGTTGGTGAGAGTTGATTGCTTTACTTATTCTCCTCGACAACCATGCAGGATAGTGCGCACTTTGTGCGGCCCATATAAGCTAGCTCCACAGGAGCAGGTAAATTTGTAGACACATATTAAGGTACCCCGAAGTGGCTGCTTGTCCTTAACCGCACCCCGGAATGAATTGCTGACTAGGGAAACTGATCTGTAACTTCAAAGACAAGAATATCTCCTTCAGCGATCTGGATAGCCTTTTCTTCAGGATCTCTGGTGCCGTATCGCTTTTGAAACCATGGTTCATAAACAAGTTCTTCTTTGGAACTGTGAGTACTTGCTCCATGTTTTGTTTTAATTTCAAGTTCTCAATAAATCTGGATGGGCCACACAAAGCGCGCACTTTCCAAACGTGTCTCTGAGCCCTATCCCGCATGGTTGGCGAGATGAGAATGTAAATCACTTCACACTTCAATTCTTGAACGTTTGGTCGTCTCTGAATATATAGCTTGACCTGAGTCCTCCTTCAGTGTCATTGATACAGTCAAAAAGTTGATCCCGTATAGCCAAATTCGATCTTATTTCTAGCCTATACTTACTTTCCTATCCTGATGTCGTGATAAATCCTTTGCAGAAACACGGCAGAGTTGAGATAATTATGTATAACATAACACCATTGCGTCTCTACAACGTAAAAGATGCGTCAAGACTCATTCCTATTACCTACAAATAAAGTGAGAAGAGGCACAAACTGGAATAAAGGTCGACGAAGGGTTATTGTTATGAAAGTCACTGGTGCTTTTGCAAAGAAAAAAAAGCATCTAAGCCAGGTGGTATTCAGTAATTTTTAGACCGACTTAATATCGAGACTGAGAAGAAAAATGGTTGAAAAAATCATCAACTGAGTAAGTACTGAAATAAGGTGATTATAATAATAAGTGTAATATTGAGTCATTGTTCACCTACCGTTGGCTTTCACAATTCAGTAGACGTGAAAATTAATTTGGTGCCATTGTGCCGCTCTCGTCCAAGAGGTCTCTGCGGCAGTATACTGCCTTGAAAAGCATTTTGAGCATTGATATAATTGTTCTTAATCTTCTCCAATTTTCACGTAGTCACGTCACGGTTATTGATTGATCTCATTTATACTGGGTCACACTAGTAGTGTTAGCTAGGAATATTTTCTGTTTGCTTCAGACATATTGGTAGTGATTTTGCTAATCTTCCACTCAAGTAGAATTGGTGTCTTGTTTGACAGTCCTCTTGTTGAAAGTTGATGAATACTACATATCTGTCAGTGGAGGATACTGACATAATGCTAAATCTATTGTACACTTTAAGTGGAAACGTTTGGGGGTGTACTGCAAAGATAATGACCGAGAAGTGTTCTACATTGTCACAATGGTTAAGAGTTCAGTGTAAGACAATTAAGTATTTATCCTACTTCATCTGCTTATTCAATTACATTGTCCTGGATGATGAAATTTTTGCATGGTTGAAATACTACACTGCAATCCTTTCTGTTTTATTGTTTAACTATAAGGCATAATGTTCGAAGGTAATTTTTCATGTGGTTACTTACTGGCATTCGATCATAGGCATCTTTCGTTAACATATGACGCAAGCATCAAGTACACATTGTTCAGGTTGGTCTTATTTTCAACCAGATGAAGTAAGTCAGACGATCAGATTGTGCGATTCCTTCACTTGAACTGGCTGGGATATGTGATACGCAAGCTAAGTCACAAAGTAGTTAGTAAGCAGTAGTTAGATTGAAAACATCTCAAGGTGATGATAGTAATACATGACGACAAATTATTGATCTATCATTTGCGTAGTACCATATTAACCTTTAATTAAAACCTCTAGCATATAATGAATTAAATGATATTTGGCATAAAATCTGACAGTCTATGTCTGGTGTTGTGCTATGGATGATTTGAGAGTTTATATTGGGTGATGATTGAAGGTGAAATGAAAATTTGGACCGCGGCCGGATTCGAACCGGCAACCACTGGGTTCCCAGCCCGATGTTCTACCAACTGAGCTACGAGGCTGGACTGCTGGTAAGTAGGTTAGCTTGTCACTCCTTACTAATTTGCATCAACTTTAGTATACAGATTGTAGACATTTCAAATATAGCTTTTAAGGTGGTAATACACATTATCTTGATTGTATACGAGTTGTAAGTCGCAACTGCTCAAATTCAAACCATTTGTTTTGTCTCCGTGGTTGGTTACTAGTGCTAAGAGAAATATTTAGCTTATTTCAACATAGTATAATATTTTCCATATTGTTACTGTAGACTTGACTGTTACTTTATACAACCTAAAATATTTTGTATTTTCATCCCACGTCTTCTTTTATTCAGAGAAAGATTATTTATGGGTCGTACTTACCTATCGAAGAAAGCAGTTGAACGACTGCTTGCAAGTTTATCTGATGAATTCCGTGGTGATGCCTATCATCTATTGCATTTCAACTGCAATCACTTCACGTCACAGTTTGTTGATGTAAGTATTGTCTTACCCTATTTACTCATACTTTGACTTTGTGTACTTTGTTTCACTTTGAAAAAATGCACATTTATTCATTCTCGCAGTAAGAATATTGGACCTAAAAATTTATGAAACACTGCTAGTCGATCGCATCATGATACAGCAGTACTTCATGGTATTTGCATTCAAGTTGTTTACACTTGACACCAGTAAACTCCGAAGGAATCAGACCTGAAGGAAACCTGTATTAAAAATACCAAGTAAAGAATATTATTGAAATAGTGGAGAATATTTGTACCTCAGATGAATGGTCTTCGATGTATTGTGTTCTCTGAGCTAGATTGTTTAGTCATGAGGCTTTCATCGTCACTCTAGACGACATAATCAGCACTAACTTCAGTATGAAGTGAGCTGTCAATATCTCTCCGTGAGGAATTTGGTAGCTTACCCCACTGAACTGGCTTGTGACTGGTTGTTTCCTTTGACTGCTGTGTCATTGACTGAATAGATTTTTCTATTGGCTGTTCCTCTGCTTGACCTCTGACCTTTCTGTCGTTTATCATTTTTCTCATTGGTTGGTAGATTGGGTCTGTGTCCATGCATCTATTGATTGTTGACTAACTGACCTGAATGCCAAGCTTCTAGGAATTCTCTCATACTCTTTGCGTTTCCTCTCTCCGTCCAAAATTTCTACATTGTCGAAATTGAATTCATGTCCATAATTATCTACTTGCATTGAAATGAGTGGTGGGAAGTCGTGATGTGTACTAGCCAAGTGGTGTTCATGCAAATGATGCAGGGGAAGAGGGTGACCACTTTGTCCAATGTAGTGTTGACTACAGTTATTGCAGTTCATTTCGTAAATGATGTTCGATTTGTCTTCTTTGGTTGTTGCATCCTTTGCTCTGCATAATAGTGTTTGAAGATAATTTGTTGGCTTATGAGCCACACCAATTCCAAGTGGTCTCAGTAATTTTGTCGTGATCTCTGATATATCGCTTATTTACGGTAGAATGATGCGTTTGTTGATTTCTGTCGATGACTTTGTAGTTGATGATATACGTGATAGAGATCTTCTCATAAGGTTTCGTGGGTAGCCGTTCTTATTTGGGGTGGACATCAAGTAATTTTTTTCGTTTCTCCATGTTGTTGTACTGCAGTGTGTTCTCGCTCTTTTGGATAGAGTCTGCACGCAACTAATTTTGTGCGTTGTTGCTACTGTAGTTGAGGATTTGATCAGTGTGTTTTGACTTCCTGTACACTTGGATTTCCAGCTTTCCGGCATTTGTTCTACTGACTAGAACATCCAGGAATGGTAGTTGATTGTTTGACTCCTTCTTCATTGTGAATTTGATGTCACTGAAAACGTTGTTGATCAAACTATGGGTATTTTCTATATCATCTTTTTTAATGATGACAAAAGTGTCGTCCATATAGCGAATCCAGATTTTCAGTTTGATCACTGGTAGGATGATGGCTTCCAGTCTGTGCATCACTGCTTCTGCAATTATTTCGGATATCGGTGATCCCATTGGAGTTCCTCTAGTCTGTTTACATGTCTTGCCGTTGAATTGGAAGTATGTTGTCAGACAAAGGTCGATGAGTTCCATCAGACGTGAACATTTAAGTTTTGTGCGTTCTGTAAGGTTTATGTCTTCATTGAGCAGAAGGGACATAGTCTCCTTGGCCAATTAGGGTTCGATTGATGTGTATAGATAGTGCTGTGACATCGAAGGATACCATTAATTCGTCGTTTTCTATGTTAATGCTTTTGATCTTTTCTAAGAATTCCATTGGTGACTTAATAGAATATCCGCATGATTGAACGAGGTGTTTCAGTTTTCCTGAGAGTTCTCTTGATATGTTGTATGTTGGAGTTCCCGGAAGTGAGACAACTGGTCGTAGAGGGATATCTGATTTGTGTAGTTTCGGTCTGTCGTAGGACCGACGAAGGACGGGTCCATTCGATTTCATACACCATTTGTCCTGCTTTGTTATTTCTTCTGCCTGGAAGAGTTTGTTCAAGGTTTTATTGATTTAGTTGTCGAACTTCTGGATAGGGTTGGTATCAAGTGGTTGATATGCACTTTGGTCTTTAAGTAATTCCTCTGCTTTCCTGATGTAGTCTTCTTTGTCCATGACTACTGTAGTGCGTCCTTTGTCTGCTGGAAGTATAACGATGTCTTTCCTATTTTTCAGCCTTTTTAATGTTTTCTGTTCTTGAGCGTTCATTTGAGCATGATGTTTCCTTTACCTGGTTAGTATTACGATTGTTTGCCGTATTTCTTGTTGAGTGACCTCATTTAATCCTGTTGTTTTAAGTGACGATTCTAATACCGCAAATAATTCTGGTTTCGAAGCATCTCTTGTGTTCTAATTCAATCCTTTTTGAAGAAGAAGTTCTTCCATTTTTGCAAGTGTTTTTTTTTTGATAAATTGGCAACACAGTCGTTTGTTTCATCGGTTGAAGGCACTTCTGAGATTTTGAGCAGCTTTTTCCTGAGGACGTTTGTTCGTGGTTATTTGTATTGTCTGCTTGATTTTTCAATTACAGTTATCAGTGTTGTCAAGCAGGTCAGAAACTTCATCGACTGATGCTACGTCTTGGTGTGGCCACCCTGAACTCTCTTACAACATAATCCGGCATCCCACAGCCTGGCGGGTCGAGGTAGATGGTGATTCGGCATGTGCAGTACATCACCAATCCATCTCAGCCGACTAAGGTTAACGACCTCATCGAATTGCTTAGCTTTCTTGCCTAGTAACCTTCACCTGACCTCATCATTACTCATATAGTGATTCCACCAAACGCGCGCAAATGCTACGAAGATATCTGTACTTATCTGTTGTGATTCTTCCGAATGTAAAATATTTACGTTAGTAACGGTACCTTTTTAAACACGAGGGTTGCATTGATAATTGCATCCCGACATGTTTTATAGGGCTTAGTAACAGAATATATTGACAATATCTAGTACACTTTTTCTACCTCTGCATCATTCAGCACTGCATCCATCAAATGTGTACCTTTTCTTGAGATTGTATATCCATTATGCAGGCTTCAGTCTATAATTACGTTCAAAATGCGGTTCCATAATTTGTTGTTGAATTTGCTTTTACACTGTTAATCTGTGCAGGCATAATTGATACGCTCATATATTTTGAAATTCTAGTGACTAGTTTCAATCCCTTATCACATAAATTTATTGCATAGGTCTCTACATCTTCATCTCAACTGCATTCCTTATTCTATACTAAACGAAAGTAGTGTTTGTTAATTCACTTGAAAAAAATAAGGATAATACTTTAGAAAATGATTGAATTTATCAAATTGATGCAGTTCGTTACTACTGTGTTCAATAAACTGAGTGTAGCACTAATTGTTTGATAGTTACTAATTGAATTACATTTCTCATAGGTCCTAATTATGTATCATCAGTGTTGTTTTCTACATGAAGATAGTGGCTAAAATGCTTGTATACCGAATACGTATATCATAAACACTCATATAATCATGTCGTATAGTTAATTTTAAATCTAACGGTTAATATGACATACGCTTTTATTTATCATGACATCACTATGATACCTTTGTTTCAGATAAAATACTCGAAATCATATTTACCATGATCTAATGAATGTCGTAACAAGTTTTTTTTGTTGTTTTTTGTTATTCTCTTTTACATACCACACCAAGCACATATAATCTTGAGTGGTTGTGTAAATGCTAAATAAAGTTAAAGATAGCTTTCACCACAAAGCTAAACCAGTTAAGCCGACTTTAAGAATCTAGCGGTAACCGACTTTCTAATTTGTGTATGTGCCATACTGTCTAAGTTGATTGATATGAGAATGGAAAAATGGTACTTTATTCATACGGTTGTTACTCTAATGTGCTGTTAGTGCATGATAGTGTTCAGTATCTTAATCGGATTGTTTATATAGGTAATGTACGTAAACAAAAGTAAAAACATTTGTTACAGGCACACTAAAAATCTATTTGACTCAATATTGAGTCTAGGTATTCATCATGGACTGACACTGGAGACCTGAAAGCACTGGAGAGCTGTTTCGTCCTAGTATTCGGCTCCTCAGCAAAGCGCACCCAGGGCCGTCAGGTTCCGCGACCAGCACGTTACCATCAAGTCACTTGGTCGGGATCTAATAGTCCATTTTTCCTACTTCCGTCAGCTCACGATGTATCGTGAAACTCATCATGAGGAGTTCCACACAAGGACGAAACAGCTGTCCGGTGCTCCCTAATTTCCAATTTTTCTCTAGTTGATGTCAATCCATGATGAATACTAACCTGAAATCAATAAATAAATCCCCACAAACCTCCAGATTGAATTAATCTAGTGCTCATTGGTGACTGGCTTCAGGAGATGGTTCCCGAAGTTCGAATGAAAGTCGTGACCGGTGCGGTCAACGTAGCTAAACTTGAGGAAAGCTACTCAACTACCGTTTTAGATGGAAGTCACGCTATGAACTGGCAAAAGTAGGAAATATGGATCATTGGATTCTGACCAAGTAGCTCAATGGTAACTTGCTGGCTGCGGAACCTTAAGATCCTGAGTTTGATCCCGAGCGGTACCAGGGACATGTATTTCTGAGGAGTCCCATACTAAAACGAAACAACTGTCTAGCGCGCCCAGGTTTCCAATGTTTCTTTAATTTACGTCAGTCTATGATGAATACTAACCTGAAATCAATAAATAAAATCCTCATATGCCTCCGAATTCAATGTTGAATCATTTGATTTTCACTTATTCCAGACAGAAGATGAGTTGATGTGTGAATTAGATAAATTCTAAGTCCTGTTTGGCTGTTTCTGGCCCATTTCATTTGTAAAATATGTGTCTTTACTGTGTACCGTCCAATCAAAGGGAATGTTAGAACGTGTAACCGTAATCTTATTAAAATTACACAATTCCAATTGATGTTGGATACGATTTAATGAACTTACTTGAATAATAATGATAGTCATAATGAATGCTCTGGAATGCACTAACAGT